CAAAACGTTCGGCCAATCCGTTAGAAGCCGGGTGGAACGGGGCCGATAGGGCATGGCGGATGCCCAGTCCGGCCAAGTATCCCTCGAACAGGGTTGCTGTGAATTGAGGGCCGTTGTCAGATACTAGGGTATCCGGTAGGCCATGTGTGGCAAACAGCTTGCGAAGGGCTTTAATAACTGCCTCGGCTGTGGTAGAGGGCATTAGAATTATTTCAAGCCATTTCGAAAAGGCATCAACGACAATTAAAAATGTTTGCCCATGGAAGGGGCCGGCAAATCAATATGGATCCTCCCCCATGGCCCTTTTGGTTTCTCCCACTCTCGGATGGGCGCTACCGGGGGATCAGGCCGAGACTCCTGGCAGGGTCTGCACCTTCCCACCCACTCAGAGATAACTTGGTCCATGTTGGGCCACCATACATAACTGCGGGCTAAACTTTTCATTCTGACAATGCCCGGATGCCCTTCGTACAGCAATTCTAAGACCCTTGTTCGTAGTTTTGTTGGCACTACCACCCTGTCACCCCACAACAAACAACCACCTTGCGTAAACAGTTCGTTTCGTTTGTTTACAAAACCTTGGTAGTCTCCCCCGTCCACCTTGACCGTCCACCCTTTAAGCACCCACCCCATCACAGTGCGAATGATCGGGTCCCTGGCTGAGGCTTTTGCCACGTCGGCAGAGGACATGGGTCCCAAAGTTAATGTGTCCAGTAGAAGGACGGAGGCCTCTGGTGTTGGATTGGTCAGTAAGTCAGGTAGGGGACAGCGGCTGAGGGCATCCACGTGACCCAGGGTCCATCCGGGTCGATGTACAAGCTGATATGAATAGGCCGAAAGAAAAATAGCCCATCTAGTTAAACGTGGGGAAAGAGCAGCGGGGGTGGGCCTGTCGCCTGCCAAAAGTCCTAGCAAGGGCCGGTGATCAGTCACAAGTTCGAATTGCCGGCCAAAGAGGTATTTGTGGAACTTTTTAACCCCCGCAATTGCAGCCAGAGCCTCTCTGTCCAATTGGCTATAGTTTCGCTCTGCGCTTGACAGAGTGCGAGAGTAAAACGCAATGGGCGCCTCTAGGCCGTTCGGCAGTCTATGGCCTAGGACGGCACCAACTCCTACGGGGGAGGTGTCACAAACCAATACAAGCGGTAGCGCTGCGTTGTATTGGATTAAGAAACTGTCTTCCAATAGAAGTCTCTTTACTACCTCAAAAGCGGCTGCTTGTGGTTTCCCCCAGACCCATGGTACATTCTTCCCCAATAGTTTGTGTAAGGGATCTGCGACGGCAGCTTTGTCTTTCAGGAACATTGAGTAAAAATTGAGCAGTCCAAGGAAGGCTTGGAGCTCTGCTTTGGTCTTGGGAGCAGGTGCGCTCTTAATCGCTCTCACCTTGCTTTCGGTAGGGTGGATGCCTGTGCCGTCCACCCTGTACCCCAAAAATTCAATGGAGGGGACAGCGATCATACATTTATTTTTCTTTAACCTTAGTCCCGCTTCCCTAAATCTAGAAAGGACGTTCCTTACTCTGTCCCCTAACTGACGTTCGTCCTGAGCGCTGACTAGAACGTCATCAAAATAGGGCACCACTCTGGGGAGCCCTTGCAGAAGGCGCTCCATGATGCTTTGAAACAGGCCGGGTGCGACGCTCACCCCAAACTGGAGCCTGGTGCATTTGAATGCACCCCTATGAGTTACAATCGTTTGCGCCTCTGCCATGGCATCATCAACTGGTAATTGTTGATAGGCCTGAGCCAGGTCTAATTTGGCAAAAAATTTTCCGGGCCCCAGGGAGTGTAGTAGATGATGCACGATCGGCACCAGATAGGCGCTCGGCTGCAAAGCCTTGTTGATCGTGCACTTGTAGTCGGCGCAGATCCTAATTGAGCCGTCGGACTTTACTGGGGTTACTATAGGGGTTTCCCACTTTGCATGGTCAACGGGAACCAACACCCCTTGTTTAATTAGTTTGTCCAGTTCCGCATCGATCTTTGGTTTCAATGCGAAAGGCACCCGTCTGGCCTTGAGTCTTATTTGGGCTACATTGGGGTCTAAATTAAGGGAGATAGGGGTTCCCACATACTTGCCCAACGTGTCCCCGAAAACGTCCTGGAACTCGGTCAGGAGGCTGTCTTTTAATGATGACTTGAGCATCTGGTGGACGCCGGTGAAACCCATGCCGAGGGCTCGGAACCACCCCATGCCGAGAAGGCTGGGGAGCTGCTTCGTGATGATGGTCAGTGGCAGGTCTCTTTCGTAGTCTCCGTAGGTGACTCGGAACGTGCCCACGCCTTCGAGGGGGACTCGGTTTCCCTGGTAGTCTAGGATGCGCAGTCTCTGTTTGGAGAGCTGGTCCTTCCGGAACGACGGCAGGAGGGTCTTTAGGGTCGCCCAAGACATTATGGAGAGAGCCGATCCGGTGTCGATCTCCATCGAGCATGGCTTGCCGTTGATTTCGACCACCGTGCTGACTTTGTCCTCGATTTCCGCGCTGGCCTGGTCTATGTGAATGCTGCGGCCATCTCGAGGTTCAAATTCGCTCCGTTTTTTCGTGCCGCCTTCTCTCGTTGGTTGTTTCTGGCGCGTTGATTCTGGTTGGCTGCGGCGCTCACGTGATTGGTGTTTTCTGGGCAGAATGGCTCTACAGACTCGCGCCAAGTGCCCTTTTTTCTCGCAACGCCTGCAGATAGCCTCCCTGTATTTGCAGGACAGTCTATCATGGTGCCCTCCACAGCTGGGACAGCTTCACCGTGGGCTGCCTGTGTCCTTTCTCTGGTGCTCCGTTCGGAAGACGTCTTCATCCGACTCGGACTCCGAGCTGGATCCGGCGTCTTCTCTGTGCACCTGGGCAGACTTGGGGTTGTCTTTGCTGGTCAGCGGACGCTGCAGTGTTTCTGTGGCTTTTGTGGAGGCTTCATGAGCCCTAGCCTCGTCTAGGGCTCCAGCAAGCATCAAATCAGGCTTGGCGAGCAGGCGCCGTTGCAGCCTAATGTCCCGGACACCACAGATGAGTTGCTCAAGCAACGCATCGTCCAAGTCTCTATAGTCGCAATGGGTTGCAGCTTTTCTCAGGCTGGCCATGTATGCGCTGATCGGTTCTCCCTCTCACTGAACGCGCTGTCTGAGTTGGTATCGTTGCACGAACTTGGAGGGCACGGGAGCATAGTGAGCCCGGAGCGTGGCCATCAGGGTGTCCCAGGAAACAGTCTGGACCGGCGTTGGCTCGCACAGTGACTCTGCCATCTCAAACACGTCCGGTCCACAGTGGCTTAGGAAGAGGGCCCTCTTCCGATTAGCGGAGAGCCCTTGCATGTCGCTGGCTTCGAGCGAGCATTCGAACCTCGTCAGGTACGAGACCCATTTTTCGCGGGTCGGATCAAAAGGCTTGGGCAGAACGTAGGCAGACATGTTCGGTATGCCTCCTGTAGTTCGCCTCGTCGCCTAGCTGAAGCTCGTGGTCTCACTGGTTCGCTTCTTGTGACCTCTATCCCACCTTCGTCGCCAATGAAGTGGTTTGGGAATAATGAGAGGCACAACCAAGCAAGTGACAACAGCTCTTTAATTTACAGTGAGACTTCAGCAAAAACTCAGAGGCTGCAGCCCTCCTTATATACAATCCTGGAGGGACTGTCAGCCAATCAGAAACGTAGGCAAGTTTGAAACTCCCGCTTAAAAGTATCAATACATAACAGTCATGTCATTTTCTGGACCAACAATCCCTGCTCATAGTTACCCATGCCTTAGACACATGCTGTCTTAACTATCGCAATGATCTATACATGGGATTGCCTTTAGAATGTATCCAGAAGTTTCAATTGGTTCAAAATAAAATGGCCTGCATGGTTTTGTTGAAGCTTAGATTTCACATGTGTCACCTCTCCTGAAGGAGCTGCATTGGCTGCTGATCTGGTTTGGGGTCCAATTCAAGGTACTGGTTATCACCCTCAAAGCCCTCAACTATATGGCTTGGAACCATGTTTTTTGAAGCAATATCTTTTCAAAGTCATATCTACATGATCCACCAGGGTGGGGAGACAGGGAATGATATGGTACTCTCTCCTAAGGAAATCCAATTTGTGGGATCATGAAGAAGGGCCTTATCTGTAGTGGCTCCCTCCCTGTGGAATGTTGTCTCTACAAAGATAAGATTGGCCCCCCACCCACTTTGACACTCTTTTTCAAGGCCCTGAAGACATGGATCTGCCATTGGGCCTAGGGATCTCAGGGTGATATGGATCCCATCAAGTGGATGGTCTGATGATTGTCTCCAGTAGGGGCTGAAGGTAGTTGGTTTTGTATTGGAGTTTTATTTTTGTAATCTGCCTGGAGTCACTGAGAGTGAGTTGGGTGGTCATGTTAATTTTCTTGATAAATAAATAAATATTTTCCTGTTGGAACTCCAAGACATGGGTGTTGTAGCTGTTATCCACTCCCAAAACACTTCACTTCTGCTCTGCCAAGTTTTTTTTCATTTGAAATCAATTTCACTGAATTTTGCTGTGAAGTTCTGTTCATATCTGACAATTTTTCATAATATGAGCAATGGTGGGTTAGAGGGTTGGTACGTTTTATAATTACAGACTGATTTGGAAATCAAATTATTGTTGAAGGAACACAGATCTGCTGTCAGAGAAGTGCAAATTAATTACACTGTTCCTAATTTTTCATTAGCATAGAAATTGTTCAGTGGCCCAAATTTTCATAAATGAGGTACTCTAATATAATGGATTATTTTCCAATTGAAAGATATCATTTTCCTCAGAAAAGTGATTTCTGCTTTTCTACTTTTTTTCTGAAGTGCATTTCTCCCTTCATTTATTTGATGGCCTTTTTATTGCTGGAGGTGCAACATTTGAAACTGCTAGCTTTTAACACATGAGTAAACAAGTTTAACATACTGGAAGGCAATAGTTTCTACTGCAATCTCTTTCACTTTTTCATTTGTTACATTATTAGACTTGGTTAAAACACATCCAAGCAATTATTTCAAGATCTTCTTGGTTTCTCTAGGAGCTATTCTTAATATCCTTTAAAAAACTAAAAGGATCAACATTCAAGTATCAATATAGCTTTTGAATGTTGAGATAATTATTTCTCCATCACCTAATTCAGTGACAATACTTTTTATCTCAGTGAACAGAAAGTATTAAATACAATTTATATTTTAAGTTTTATCCATGGATAGTAAAAGTAATCAAGACTATGCCCAACTGATTCCAATTAAATATATTAATTGTAAATGAACTGCAATGTTGTTGTTGTTTTAAAAAAAACTATATATTGAATAGTAAGTACAGTATATCCTTAAGGACTTATATTAAATACATGGACATAGAATTTTGGCCTAGAAAGATTCTGTTTTCTCAGTCCATTTCATTTCATTTCATTTATTGGATTTGTATACCGCCCTACTCCCAAAGGACTCAGGGGGGTGAACAGCCACAGAATAAAACACATAAATACAAAATTTAAAAACAGAATAAAACGGAATTAAATAATTTGGCTGAGACAAATTTAAAACACCCAATAATTTTAAAAACAAATTAAAATTTACATTTTAAAGGGGAAAGATTTAGGCCAGGCCGGCTTGATGGAATAAAAAAGTCTTGAGAGCGCGATGGAAGGTGTACAGATCCGGGATCCTCCATACCTCCGGGGGGAGCTCATTCCAGATAGTAGGTGCCCCCACAGAGAAGGCTTTCCCCCTGGGGGCTGCCAGTCAACATTGTTTGGCCGACGGCACCCGGAGGAGCCCCTCTCTATGAGAGCGTACCGGTCGGTGGGAGGCTATTGGTGGTAGCAGGCGGTCCGGTAAATAACCAGGTCCTAAGCCATGGAGCGCTCTAAAGATGATAACCAAAACCTTGAAGCGCATCCGGAAGACCACCGGGAGCCAGTGCAGCTCATGCAGGAGAGGTGTTACATGGGAACGCCACGTCACTTCCATAACCACCTGCGCGGCCGCACTCTGCGGCAGTTGGAGCCTCCGAGTGCTCCTCAACGGGAGCCCCATGTAGAGAGCGTTGCAATAGTCCAGGCGGGAGGTGACGAGGGCATGAGTGACTGCGTAAAGAGTCCCGATCTAGAAAGGGACGCAACTGGCAAATCAGGCGGACCTGATGAAAAATCCTCCCAGTCACGGCCGTCAAATGCTCTTCTAAAGACAGCCGTGAATCCAGGAGGACACCCAAGTCACAAGCCCTCTCCATGGGGGCCAGTGATTCACCCCAAAAGTCAGTGATGGCGCCAACTGACTATATCGGGACGTCGGAAACCACAGCCACTCAGTCTTGGATGGGTTGAGCCTGAGCCTGTTTCTCCCCATCCAGATCCGCACGGCCTCCAGGCACCGGGACATCACTTCAAGGGCATTGTTGGGGTGGTCCGGGGTGGAGATGTACAGCTGAGTGTCATCAGCGTACTGGTGGTACTTCACCCCGAAACCACGGATGATCTCGCAATTTATATTAATTATATTATTACATCCAATTTATATTAATTTTGTCTTATTTTTTAAAAGTCCTTTGTTGTTCAGATCAGGCCTTAGAATGATAATATAACATTTGGGAGAAAAAATACAAATTAATAACCCCCCACTAGAGGCTATAATGGAGAAGATCTCAACAGCAACCATATATTTCCCTTTTGTGCTCAGGTACGTTGGAATAAAGGACAACCAGACACTGCAGAAGACCAACATGCTGAAGGTGATAAACTTGGCTTCATTGAAAGTATCAGGCAACTTCCTAGCTAGGAAAGCTACCATGAAGCTGATAATGGCAAGGAAACCCATAAAGCCCAAGACACCATAAAACATGAAGACTGATCCTTCATTACATTCTAAGATTATTTCTTCTGATATGGAATTTTTGTCAACGTCTGGGAATGGAGGAGTGATTATCAGCCATAGAATACAAATATTACTTTGAATAAAGGAGCAGCAAAATACTATAGACATAGCTAGTTTTCTCCCCACCCATTTGGTCATCTTGGACCCTGGTTTGGTGGCCATAAAGGCCAGAACCACAATGGTGGTTTTGGCCAAAACACAAGAAATGGCAACTGAATAGATAATGCCAAAGGCAGTTTGACGAAGGAGACATGTCACGTTGTTAGGTTTCCCAAGAAATAATGCAGTACAAAGAAAAGACAACAGAAGAGAAACAAGGAGAACATATGTGATATTTTGGTTGTTGGCTTTGACAATGGCAGTGTCCTGATGCTTAATAAAGATCCAAAAGACTGCAACTGTGACCAAAGAAAAGAAAAGAGCAGAACTGGCTAAAACCATCCCTAAAGATTCTTCATACTTCAAGAATGTTATAACTTTGGGAAGGCACAAATCCTGCTTCTTATTAGGGTACTCATCATCTGGACATTGAAAACATTCATCCATGTCTAGAAAACAAAGTAGAAGATTAGAAATCAGTTAGTCCAAACATTGTTTTGAAAATAAGTAAGATGAAACATACAGTGTAATGCCTAGAATACAGCTTGCTAGTTCAAAACTGAAAAGTAACCAAATTTATTCAGTACTTCTTAACTATATTTCTAACTCTCTGTGATCAAAAATGGCTCACTGTTGTACAAAAGAAGATAGAGAGGATGTCAGATACGGGTTAATGTCAGGGTTCCAAGTAACACCCCCAACGAATAGAACTCCGAGGCCTGGATTTCCTCAAAGCTACAATTTATTGGAGATGTCATATTGGCACATCTGGGAAAACCCGAATCTGAAAGGTTCCAGGTTTTCCCCACTCAAGTGAAAGTACAAGTCCCTATCCAACACCCACATGTCCAACACATGGTCCAATCATCCACCGTCCAAACTGAAAACACTCCCCAGTCATCCAACTCCAGATGCCAGGACAATGCGTCCTTGACTCTCTGAGAAAGGAATGTTATTTTGATTATGTATCATCTATACTCTATGCAATCCCCCCTCCCATTTTTCCACTGAAGAAGGTGTGGCAGGCCTGAAGGCCCAAACATAAAAGATGGCTTCCAGGTCTGACAGGAGATTGTATTTATAAGGAATTAAATTTCTTTTTCATCACAGCACTCCTTTTTTTCTACATTATGTATCAATTTTACCTTTTCCTTCGGTTCTTAATTTCCTTGGGTTTTCATAATTTTAGATTTGTCTAAAATATTGGTCAATGATTACTAATCCTAAACATTTTTCCTGGACCTACCTATATATCATTTGAAAAAAAAAGTTATCCTTTGAAGTTTCATGAACATTTCAGTGCACATCCTCTCTCAAAGTCAGATGTTCTTTAATTAAATATGTCTACAAAATATGTCCTTGGAGTTTAAAAGAAATAATTCAAACAAACAGAAATTGAGGAAATGGATATGCAAATGTGAAAGTTAAAAAGAGAGTGAAAGTAGACATTGATGTCCATTATGATTAGGGACACGGATCATTAAATCAAAATTAGATCAGTCATAAGTACAATTCTTACCTTGTTGGTTTGAAAACTTCCCTTCTGGACATTGAAGGCAATCATAGCAGCAAAATGGCTTCCCTTCTAACTTGCTCTTACTGTAGCCCAAAGGGCATTTGTTATTGCACTGTGAAAGTGGCTGGGTCTGTTCATAAATGAAATAAGAAAATGTTTTTGACAATATTGTACCTCAATATTTACCAAACATTTATTATTAGATTATATGTTGATTATTTTATAACTCAAGGTGGCATATATAGTGCTCCTACTTCCTATTTTTTTCAATAGCAACACTATGAGGTATTGTTGTTGTTATTACTTGTGAAGTTGTGTCCGACCCATTGCGACCTCATGGACAATGTTCCTCCAGGCTTCCTATCCTCTACCATCCCACAGAGTCCATTTAAGTTCACACCAACTGCTTCAGTGACTTCTCATTCAGCCACCTCATTCTCTGTCATCCCTTTTTTCTTTTGCCCTCAATCTTTCACAGCATTAGGCTCTTCTCCAGTGAGTCCTTCCTTCTCATTAGGTGGCCAAAGTATCTGATTTTCATCTTCAGATCTGGCCTTCTAAAAAGCAGTCAGGGTTGATCTCCTCTATGACTGACCGGTTTGATCACCTTGCAGTCCATGGGACTCGCATGAGTCTTCTCCAGCACCATAGTTCAAAGGCGTCAATTCTTTTCCTATCTTATGGTCCAACTTTCACAGCTATACATTGCAACTGGGAAAACCATAGCCTTGACCATACGCACTTTTGTTGGCAGGGTAATGTCTCTGCTTTTTACTATGCTGTCTAGATTTGCCATAGCTTTCCTCCACAGGAGCAAGCATCTTTTAATTCCTTGTCTACAATCCCCATCTGCGGTGATCTTGGAGCTCCGGAAAATAAAATCTGTCATTACCTCCATTTCTTCCCCATCTATTTGCCAGGAATTGAGAGGGCTGGATGCCATGATCTTAGTTTTCTTAACACTGAGTTTCAAGCCAACTTTTGCACTCTCCTTCTTCACCTGCATCAAGAGGCTCTTTAGTTCTTCTTCACTTTCTGCCATTAAAGTGGTATCATCTGCATATCTGAGGTTGTTGATATTTCTCCCGGCAATCTTAATTCCAGCTTTTGATTCATCTAGCCCCGCCTTTCTCATGATGTGCTCTGCATATAAGTTAAATAGGCAGAACGACGGTATACAGCCTTGCCGGACTCCTTTCCCAATTTTGAACCAGTCAGTGGTTCCGTATCTAGTTCTCACTGTCTCACACTATGAGGTGGGTTGTGCTTAGATAGATTGACTGGTTCAAAGTCATTAAGATAACTTTCATGCATAAGGGAGGACTAGAATTCACTGTCACCCAGTTTCTAAGTCAGCACTTTAACTACTTCAGAAAATTGGACTTTTAAATTTTTAACGTTATGTTTTCTAGTGTTATGGATGGTCTGCCTAATGTTTAGTGGTTTTCAAAAAAGGAGGAAGAATTCATATTTGTAAAAAGGGAATTTTATTTTCTGTAAAGGTTAAGATGAGAGGTTTCCCCAGTGGAATGATTATCTACTATCATTTGGAATTTGTTTAGACCTTACCTGGTTAAATATGCTTGGCCACACAATAGATTTCTCAGAAGAGGAGAACATTTCTTTCTGGGATTCCTGGGGTCTAGTCTTCCAACTTTGACCCTCTGGAAAGATTGGTTTGGAAAAGTGATCCAGTTTATAATATTAAATCCAGTCTCTAACTCTCCATTTTGGTTGAAGGAAACTTTCCCCCCTGCACTATTGTTGAATGAGATCCTTCTCATAAGGTGGTTCAGCTGAATGGAAAAATAAGTGAAAAGAGAAATTCACGACAAGGAATTTATACAGTTGTACAAAATTCTGTTTGAAATATATAGAGAATGAACCTTTTAAATTCTTTGATATGACCAAAAGTTGAGAAAATACTAGTATTATTACTTAATACTGAATTATGTGATTATGGTTCTTTCATGTACAAAGGGAAACATTTAAAACTAAACATAGAAATTAAAGGATACTAATTAGCATACTTTATGAATCTAATTTATTAGATCAATTAAAAAACCCTGTTTTACACTGCACTTGAAAAACATTAAAACAATTAAATGGGAAAAAGAATTGTACAGAATCCCCCCCCCCTTTTCTAAATTTTGCATCTTGTATGAGTTCTCGGAGTCAGAATTAGCTTTATAGGCTAAAATGTATAAAGAATGGTTGCTGAAATTGGGTATGTCTAGTTTAATGAAAAGAAGGACTAGGGGTGACATGATAGCAGTGTTCCGATATCTGTGGGGGCTGCCACAAAGAAGAGGGAGTCAAGCTATTCTCCAAAGCACCTGAGGGTAGGACAAGAAGCAATGGGTGGAAATCAAGGAGAGAAGCAACTTAGAACTAAGGAGAAATTTCCTGATAGTTAGAACAATTAATTAGTGGAACAACTTGCCTCCAGAAGTTGTGAATGCTCCAACACTGGAAGTTTTTAAGAAGATGTTGGATAACCATTTGTCTGAAGTAGTGTAGGGTTTCCTGCCTAAGCAGGGGGTTGGACTAGAAGAGCTCTAAGGTCCATTCCAACTCTATTTTAATTAGGAAGTTTAGGAAACTGTTGAGGATGAATTGTCTTTTTATTAAGAAGATTTATACCTAAAGGTGATGGATGGCTACATGATGTGGTAAGAATGATGGAGTTGAGTAAGAAGAGAAATCTCAAGTTCTTCCTTTCTTAAGTGGTAAGCTGCAAAGGAATAGCTATCCTACATGGAGAATTGAGTTGATTTCTTATAAAAGAATTTGAGGAAAAAATCCCATGAATTACTCCCATATTGTAGATCTTATAAAATGCTATTATGCTTAGGACATTTTGAGGGGAACCATGAATACATACTGTATTTTTCGGAGTATAAGATGCACCTTTTTCCCCAAAAAAAGAGGGTGAAAATCTGGGTGCATCTTATACTCCAAATGTAGCCCCACCCAGCTTCGCAAACGAAGATTTCAGAGGCTGAAAGGAGCCTCTGAAAGACGCTTCAGAGAAAAGGCTCTGAAAGACTTTTATTTAAAATAATATGGCAAGCAACTAAAGAAGAATCAGTAAAGGTTCTAACCAAACTATGTTAACAAATCTGGAGAATGACACAATAACCAACAGACTGGAAGAGATTAAATCTACATACCAATACCAAAGAAAGGAGATTGAACAGAGTACAGAGGTAGTCCTTCAGAATAAAAGCCTCTGAAAGAAGCTTCATAAAAAAAGCCTCTCAAAGAAGCTTCAGAAAAGAAGCCTTTTTTTCTGAAACTCTGTTTCGGAGGCTTTCAGAGGCAGAAAAAAATGTTTTTTTCTGAACCAGAGTTTCAGAAGTTTCAGAGGCAGAAAAAAAAGCAAGGCACAGAGTTCACAACCAACCAACCTGTTGCTAAAGTTCACCTCTGGGAACAGCTGATTGGTGGTATTCCGGGAGGCCGATCCACCCACCAATCTTTTTCCTTATTTTCCTCCCCAAAACTAAGGTGCATCTTATACTCTGGTGCGTCTTATACTCCGAAAAATACAGTAGTTGATTTTTCTTTTTTTTACCTTGTGTTGAAAAGCTAAAGAAGGTCTTTTGGGCAAGGTTTTTTTTTGGGGGGGGAATAGCACTATTTAGTGTGAAGAACTAAAATATGACAACTATACAACATAATTCTACATATCTTTTAAAGCAAATCAAGTCACATTAAGTCCTTCCAAAATCTGCAAATTTAGAAATGGTATTACTAGCGTGAGTGGGAATGAGTTGTGTCTACAGTAAATTTTCTCTGCCGAAGTGCCAAATTCCATACATCTTAGTTAATTAGGCCATTACCTCCCATAGTTTTTGCTTCCTGAGGTTCAATTCAGTTACATGCTTCCCTGCTCTGTAATTCAGTACAGACGCAAAGAGATCACCCAAAGCATGTGCCACCACATAGACTGCATTGTAGACGTTGTAACTCTGACTGGTCATACGCATTTCAAATATAGATGTAGGAAGAGTCTCCAGTTTCTCTTGTCCAGTACAGGTGACCCTGTCTTCCTCAGATGTCATGGAGTTAGGAAACGAGCATTCAAATGCATTTTCCCAGAAGACCTTAATAAAGCTATCTTTTTTTGCCAAGGTGGGGTTTTTCATTTGAAGAAATTCATGAAATCCCAAGACTTCCTCTGTGTGAATTGCAAAAGATAAAGCACCGTGCAGGAAGTCAATTTTTACAGCCTTTAACAAAGGAAGTGATGTGAATTCCATCTGGGCTGTTAAAACCCACACTCTACTTTTTCTCCATACTGGCATTTTTTCGAATTGGGATATCAATGGAAAAAATCTCAGAAGAATCATATCATCCATTTCACCATGAACTATCACTACATTCGCTGTGCTGGTCATCGCCACTTTATATATTTCAACCGCCTCTCTTATCAATTCGTCAAAGCTGTTGAAATAAGTCATTGCGGGGAACTTTGCAGTAAATGCAAAGCATATCTCTCTCTGAGAAAACATAGGCACAATATCATGTATAAACTTTTCACCATTCTCATTATGTGTATATAGTGCCCCTATCCATGTCCACCTGAAATGCTGTAGTAATTGGAGAATTCCATTGTATTGGTAGTCCACATTTGGAAACATCCGTTGGATGAGACCCTGATGAGTTTCTGAAATTATCTCTGGAGCTGAACCGTAAATAAGCTTATCAAAGAAAGACAGAAATAAGGGAAAGGGAAAAAAATGTAATTTACAAATATTTGCTTATAGTGCCTGATTTTCCAGAATAATCTCCTAATCCCATTTCCAATTTATATGTAGCTATGTTCTGGAAAAGGGATGCGGTGGCTCAGTACCTAAGACACTGACCTTGTTGATCAAAAAGTCTGCAGTTCAGCGGTTTGGATCCCTAGTACCACGTAATGAGGTGAGCTCCTGTTACTTGTCCGAGCTTCTGCCAACCTAGCAGTTCAAAAGCATGTAAAAAATGCAAGTAGAATAAAAAGGGTGCACCTTTGGTGGGAAGGTAACAGCGTTCCGTGTGCCTTTGGTGTTTAGTCATGCCAGCCACATGACCATGGAGACGTCTTCGGACAGCTCTGGCTCTTCGGCTTTGAAATGGAAATGGGCACCGCCCCCTAGAGTCGGGAACGACTAGCACATATGTGCGAGGAGCTTTACCTTTATGTTCTGGAAGCATTAATGCAGAATTCTTCCATTCTAGTTTGAATGTTGTGAAATTCAACAAAAATAAGAGCTAGGGTATAATGTAAATAAAATGTATACTACTGAAATTATCCACCCTACCACAAGAAAATCTGTGTGAACAAGTATGATTCATTGGTACAATATTTCCTTCAATAGCTGAAGCTCTTGTTTCTTTTAATCTTTCATGAAAATACCCTGATATCTGGGATATCCTTCATGGCATCTTTCTAAAACAGTGTTACACATGGAGACAGTCAGGTACTGTACAGAGTCTGGCATAGAAAAAAATGCATCTGCTTTTCTATACATGTCTATTCATTGATGCATGCATGTCGAAAGTGAAACACCACAAATTTTGGCTTCACACACCAATATTCACTAATGCAACTATTCTTGAAAGCATATTCTATTTTGATGAAATTTTCAGAAGCTGATGAGGTCATGTGTGAATGGGAGATGCCCTCATGTAAACTCTGTACTCTCCAATATGGCATGCTTTCACACTATTTTCCAAGGCTGCAGAGGCTTTGGAAGAGCATTCTCCAACATTATTTAGCATTCTCATACAACCCATATCAGCTTCAGATAGGCTGCAGGAGTCTATCAACAGAAAGAGAATATAACTTGAAGATAAATGGTACATAAGAGATCTTGAAGAGCACTGAGCCATGGAGGCAGTGATGGGTTGCCCCCAGTTTGGACCGGTTCTATCGAACCAGTAGTAAAACCAGTGGGAGGCTCCGACCACTGATCCCGACATCAGGGAGTTTCTGTGCATGTGCAGAAGCGCACAATAGAGAGAGAGTGAGAGTGAAGCGAGTGCACACACATGGCCCCATTGCAAACTGGTAGTAAAAATAGAACCCACCCCTGCATGGAGGTCATTGTGTTGTTCCCTAAGAAGCAGTAGAAGTAGTAGTGCTAGGACTGAAGTCAAGGCTCAGCCTTGATTAAAAAATTCAGTATTGAATATACTAGTTAGACACATAGACAAACAGACAGACAACAGTGTTATGACCCAAATCTATGGGTCAACATCTGTTGACATGGGTATATTCATTGATAAAAAGATTTGCCATCTGCTGACTTTTTATATGTCTGATACAGTGGTGGATTGCTCGTGGTTTGGCCCAGTTTGGGCGAACCGGTAGTGGTGATGATGTGAACCGGTTCTCTATGACTGTGAGCTGGGCTCTCCCGCCTGCCTGCGCATTATACCTACCTTTATTTGTCATTTTTTAACCCAGCTGATAGGTGCGGCAGAGTGGATTGCTGCGCCTCAGCTGGGCAGAAATCTAATGCAGTTGCGCGGAGTGCAAGTTCGGCGTGCGTGCAAGCGAAGCCAGCATGCACACGATGATCACACGAAAGTGTGTGTGCAAAGAGAACCGGTGGTAACACCAGTTGGAACCCACCACTGGTCTGATATATATGCACACACACACACAATTCACATACACAATTGCTTACTTATTGTGGTATTTATTTCAAATCCAAGAAAACTAAGATCATGGCATCCAGCCCTCTCAATTCCTGGCAAATAGATGGAGAAAAAATGAAGGTAGTGACAGATTTTATTTTCCTGGGCTCCAAGGTCACCACAGATGGGGACTACAGCCTAGAAATTAAAAGACACCTGCTCCTGGGGAGGAAAGCTATGGCAAATCTAGACAGCATACTAAAAAGCAGAGACATCACCCTGCCAACAAAAGTGCATATAGTTAAGGCTATGGTTTTTCCCAGTTGCAATGTATAGCTGTGAAAGTTGGACCATAAGATAGGAAAAGAATTGACGCCTTTGAACTATGGTGCTGGAGAAGACTCCTGCGAGTCCCATGGACTGCAAGGCAATCAAACCGGTCAGTCCTAGAGAAGATCAACCTTGACTGCTCTTTAGAAGGCCAGATCTGAAGATGAAAATCAGATACTTTGGCCACCTAATGAGAAGGAAGAACTCACTGGAGAAGAGCCTAATGCTGTGAAAGATTGAGGGCAAAAGAAAAAAAGGACAACAGAGAATGAGGTGGCTGGATGGAGTCACTGAAGCAGTTGGTGGACTTAAATGGACTCCGGGAGATGGTAGAGGACAGGAGGGCCTGGAGGAACATTGTTCATGGGGTCGCGATGGGTCAGACACAACTTTGCAACAAGCAACAAATTTCAAATCCATGTAAATTAAAAACATAGTGAATGATTGATTTGCAAATATAAGCACTGTACCTGTGGTACTTTATAAAGGGACAGGATAGTAGCTGTGTGTAGGCAGACTTCAATGGTTGGACCTCCAATAACTGCTATTATTCTGTTCTGGATGTCACAATTATAATTAGGAATGAATTCATCTTGTGCAGAAAACAGTTCCAGTGATGCATGATAGGTCCAACTTGCACTAAAATAACTATTATAGATGTGAAATCCCAAGGTGAGGTTGGGTAAAATCTGAGGATCTTCATTGATCTCCTTGATTGTAAATTCCAAAGCCAGGAAATGCTGATAGATGGGAGTCATGACACTGAAAAGGGAATCAGATAATCTTTCACAGCGCATTCACTGCAAACGTGAGATGAATTATATTTCAGTATAATATATTACAAAGGATTCGTTCAGGAGACATGACTAGGAAAATATATTATAACTGGAAAACAGGAATGGTTTATTACCAATCGTAGGAAATGTAATCATTCTCCTTTATGAATTGTTAAAAGATTCTTCAGCTCTTCATTATATCAAAAGAAGGTACATTATCATTGTAACCACATTTTCAGTGGACTAAAATGAACGCCAGCCAAAATTCTCTAGGTCTTATTATACAACAAAATATTGTGTGTAAATACTGTACATAAACATGAGTTGAGCTTAATTTCAGCTGACTGCATCTATGCAGTTGTTGGTTGGTTAATTTTTTTCTCCAACATTATATATTCTTAAAAAAATCACCACTGCTTTTTCCGGAGCCCTTTTTATAACCACAAAAGCACCCTTTTCTGCTTGGTTATCTGTCTTGGAGTTTCCAAGTAAACCACACCCAATATTAACCAGGATTTCCAAGATCAGTCAAATAGACCTATGAGCCTTACCTGCTAAAACATTGTAAAGTGGATTTTAAAAACTTACAGAATTTCATCAAAGAGATCACTAGATGGTGCTTTCCTGAAGTCCATCATGTCATACAATATGTAGATCTTAGACAGAATGCCTACAACAATGAAGTCCCCTGGTTGGTATTGTTTGTGAAGTAGAGGTAGGGGTTTACTGACACTGCATTTAGCACTGGAAATCTTACCCACAACTTTGGGAAAAAGGACCAAGACCAGTGCTTCAAAGACCAACATACTGAATGAAGTTGTTCCTTATTTAAGTCATTTTGCCTGTTTTAGCATTGCCTTTCCTTAAATTGGACCGTTTGGAATAAGGAACCAGAGTGCTTTTTTTTTACTGAATAGAATCAGTGGCTGGATATTACCATTCTGGAGTGATTATAACAACTCTGTATTTTTTTTCAGTTCTTGTTATTATGCTTTTGGTGAGCGGAGGGTTGTGTGCATGTACTTATTGCAAATCCTTTGAGAATTGATGACTCAAAAGCTGCCTTCGCTAAATAGATGATTACAGGTGAAATTAAATTCTTTTTTTTAAAAAAATGCTTGTTATTTCTGGATAGAAAGATTACTTCATTCTCTTTGCGAAATAGTCAGAAATGCGAAAGATTATTTGCAGGTGTGCTGGTGGTTAAAGTTGTTGAGTTACGAGATGAAATTGAAATAAACGTAATTAAGCAGTTAATTATAGGGAAGACATTATCCACTTTGAATCAGAGGTTCAAGGAAATGCTGAAGACAAAAATATATTGTTTTTTTAGTTCTAAGCACATATCAACAATGGTGTTTTTTAGTGAAGTAGGAAAGTAAGATAGAAGCCTTTAATTATTTACCCAAGAAAAAAAGTTTTTTGTTGCAATTTGAGAAAGGTTTTTAATTTTCCTGAATTACTAATAGGCAATAAAGAATATTTTTACCATATTGTTCTTGGTGCTTCACATACAATTCTGAGAAATGGCGTTCTTCTAGACTAGGGATCTGAAACCTTAAACACTCAAAGAGCCATTTGGCCTGTTTCCCACAGAAAAGAAAACACCGGGAGCCACAAAACCCTTCCCCGTGCCTGACTATTCCTTGAGTGGCCACAAAACTAGCATATGTAGTTGAATTAAATGTTCTGTTTTCTTCTGAAATTTTCTTTTTTTGGATTATATCCATGGTTATTGAAAAGCTCAATAAATCGTGTGCTGGTGGGTATCACACACTGGTGGTTGTGACGCATATTTTGAGTGACAGGGAGCTGCAGCATAAGGGTGAAAGAGCCACATGTGGCTCCAGAGCTGCAGATTGCTGACCCCTGTTCTAGACAATCAATATCAGTCTGTCACAAGTTTGAACAACTTGAGGTTGTATGAATATGCATGGCTTCTGGGTTTGTGCATTATTTATTTATTTATTTATTTTATTTGTTTTCATTTCTATACCGCCCTTCTCCAATAGGACTCAGGGCGGTGAACAGCCAGAGTAAAAAAAACAGAACATACAAAATTTAAAAACAGTTTAAAATGATTAAATATTTTTGGCCGTAATTTAAAAACAACCCAAATTAAACAGAACAAAAACAAAAATCATTTGTTGCAACCAAGAATAGAGTGCTTTGTAAAATCGTTTCAGAGTAACCATAGCTAAAACTAAAATTGAACTGTTGGATTTGGTGATAGAAGAGACGGACACAGTTCTTCAGTAACAACAGCTCTTTAATAGTAGACCAGTACAACCCAACAACCTGCTTGTCTGGCAGTGTCCTCTTTTATAGAGAGCTGCCAGACGGCTTAGCTAATGAGATACAAATATTTTCCCACCTATTTGGCGGACCTGAGTGAAGCCTGCAGCACACTTCCTTACTTCCTTATATTGTATATAACATAAACCACCCATGACTGAAAGCCTGGTTATTTCCAAGCTTGCATGTCCTCGTTTTGTAGGGTTTGAGGGAGACGTTCTGTTGAAGTTCCTGTTTCCAAAGGAATTCCATCTATTGGGGCTGTGGAAGACAGCCTTCTTTATCATGAGGCACTCCTGTGGAACAACTTGCCCCCCAAGTATGAGGACCATTTCCCCTCTACTGTGTGAAAACTGGAGTTTAGAACAGAGCATTTTATTTTTAAATGAAATGTGGTTTTTTTTTAAAGATTTACCCTGGTGGTTAATGCTACTCTAAATATCTATATCTATGTACGTACGTATGTATGTATGTATACATGTAGGTCTTTGGTTATTCGGGTTTTCTCCCACATAAAATTGGAAGTGTCTTGGTGACGTTTCGACAAAGTCTCATTCATCATCTTCAGGCTGGCATTTTCAGCTTCGTGCTTCTAGGAGCACAAAGCTGAAAACACCAGCCTGAAGATGATGAATGAGACTTCGTCGAAACGTCGCCAAGACACTTCCAATTTTATGTGGGAGAAAACCCGAATAACCAAAGACCTAAATACAAAGACCCGCGAAAACCTCAGAAAATTATATATATATATAATATCGATAAAAATCCATATATCCCTTTATCTCTCTGTCTCTGTCTCTGTCTCTGTCTCTGTCTCTGTCTCTGTCTCTCTCCCTCTCCCTCTCCCTCTCTCTCTCCTCTCCCCTCTCTCTCTCTCTCCCTCCATCCCTCCCTCCCTCCTATCCATATATATCTCCATATATATATATGCCTAAGGCCTCAGTCTCCTGGTTTCTAGCCTAGTATCTTAGAAATTTAGTTGTTCTGGATTTAGGATCCATATATCATTTAAAGGGTTCAGTAGAGGGAATATTTTTTAAAAATATGTTTCTTTCTCCTGCCATTATTATTTTTTATAAATAATTCAAGGCATCAAAAATATCTAATACGTCTCCCTCCTTCTATTTTTCCCCACATTAACACATGTTTGAGACAGGAGTAGAACTCACAATCTCCTAGTTTCTACCCTGGTGCTAAACCAAACTAGTTTTATATTTCCTGATACGTGATGCAAAATAGGAAGCAGCAATTAAATTTATGGTACTCTGTTCTTTTCTCTTTTGAGCTGATCTTTTTTGTTCAAATCGGGCCTCAGCACAATGATGTACAATTTGGGAGAAAAGATACAAAGCAGTAATCCAGCACTGGAAGCTATAATGGAGAAGATTTCCACAGCAACCGTATATTTTCCCTTTGAACTCAGGTATGCTGGAACAAAGGACAACCAAACACTGCAGAAGACCAACATGCTGAAGGTGATAAACTTTGCTTCATTGAAAGCATCAGGCAATTTCCTTGCTAGGAAGGCCAGTGTGAAGCTGACAGTGGCAAGGAAGCCCAAATAACCCAAGACACAGTAGAACATGAAGGCAGATCCTTCGTTACACTCCAAAATGATTTCTTCTGCTATTGACTTCATGTCAGCATCTGGGAATGGGGGGGAGATGAACAGCCATATAATACAAATTTTAATTTGAATAAAGGAGCAGCAGGATACTAGAAATGTGCCAAGTCTTTTCCCCAACCATTTGGTCATCTTGGACCCTGGCTTGGTAGCCATGAAAGCTAGAACTACGATGACGGTTTTGGCCAAAACACAAGAAATGGCCACTGAGAAGATGATGCAAAAGGAAGTTTGACGAAGGAGACATGTCACCTTGTGAGGTTTCCCAATGAATAGCAAAGTACAAAGAAATGATAACAGGAGAGTAACAAGGAGTACATATGTGAGGTTTCGATTGTTAGCTCTGACAATGGGAGTGTCCTGATGCTTAATAAAGATCCAAAGGACTCCAACTGTGATTAAAGAGAAGAAAAGAGAAGAACTAGCCATAACTGTTCCCAGGGTTTCTTTGTAGTTCTAGAATGTTTTAACTTTGGGGATACACAAAACCTGCTTCTCATTGGGATACCGATCTTCTGGACATTGAAAACATTCATCCATATCTATGAAAGAAAATATTGATGTTGAAGTTGCATTGAAAGAAGAAAAACTGACTGTACAATTGTTCAAAGCGAGGACTGCCAATTAATTTCTGAAAAAATATATGTAGTACATGAAGTTAGTTGCCATCAAGGTATCTATATATATAAAAATGAAAACCACTCATGCCATAATCACAAAATCTCCAGAACCGTAAATCCTACAAAATTGAAATTTGCACGTATGTTTCCCTTGGCTTCTAGGTGTTCAATAAGAAAGGATTTTTTGAAATGACCATCAGAGAGTTAGTATTTCCTATATTAGGATTAACATTCTCTGATGCTAAGGAGTTCTACTCCCCCTCCCCACATGAAAAGAAATCTGTTCCAAATGCAAAACACAAGCAGAGGAGAGGAGTTTCAATTTCTGTTTTACTTTCACAGCAGCAACCAGGGGATAGGATAGGGGAGACTTCTGTGGGGCAAGGCTGAGGGAGAGAAGGGGATAGGATAGGGAGGCTTCTGTGGGGCAAGGCTGAGGGAGAGAAGGGAAGAGGAGAGGAGAGGCTTCTGTCCAGCAATCATGAAGGAGAGAAGAGGATAGGATATGGGAGGCTTCTGTGGGGCAAGGTTGAGAGAGAGAAAGGGAGAGAAGATGGCGATCGTAACTACTCATTAATTTTCAAGCTGTGTCGATTTATCAAGCCCGATCACATAGTTTTGTAGCAAAGCACAGATATTCAGCTAGTATTTGCATAAATTCACTTCTTGCTACCAATAATGAACATGTTTGCAATTCAACTACTTATCCCTATTTTCTAGTCTAATCTGCCAAGTGAAAGAGTTGGCAGAAAACAGAAAATTCCCCATGGTACATTTGACAATCCCATTCATTTGATGAGGTAGATATACAATATCTCTTACCCTCCCTGTTAGAAATCTTCCCTTCTGGACATCGAAGACAGTCATAGCAGCAAAATAGTTTTCCTTCTATCTTAATCTTACTGTAGCCTGAATCACACTTCCCATTACACAGAGAAAGTGGCTGGGTCTGTCCATAAATAAATAATTTAAAAAAGTTTATCTTTGGAAACATGGCATCTCAGTTTCTTTCAGTATTTTCAGAAATGTCTTTCCATCATATTTTTTCTTTTGATATAGTAATGTGAGACAGCAAAGTCTGGTTTTGGGTGGAAAA